CTCCAAATTGCCCAAGGCTTTCAGATTCGAGGCCATGTGGCTCGAAGATCCATCATGTTTTGACATTGTCTCTCAGGCCTGGAATCCCCAGTTAATGGTTCTCCCCTTTTTCAGATTCATTCCAAGATTAAAAATGTCAGATCAGCTCTGAAAAAATGGAATCTTTCGCACTTTGGCAATTGCCATTCTTCCATCAAATTCCTCCAAGAAAAAAATCATTCTTTGCAATCCCTTGATCACTCTGGTGAAATTATTCCATTGGAGAATAACCTACAAATTGAGCTCGATGAATGGCTTAAGAGAGCTGAGATTTTTTGGAGACAAAAGGCAAAAGAAAAATGGTTAAAAGAGGGTGATGCTAACAGTAAATTTTTTCATATTTCTTCTATTATTCATGCTAGAAATAATAGAATTGTTTCTGTTAGAAATAAGGATAATGTGCTTGTTTTCAACTGTGAACAGATTGGAACTTGTTTTCTGGATTATTACAGCAATCTTTTTAAATCTGGTTTTGTTGATGATAGCCCCCCATTCCCCAGTCGTTTGGATAATCTTTTTCCTTCTGTTATCTCTCAAGATACAAATGATGATCTTTGCTCTATTCCTTCTCTGGATGAAATAAAAAAGACTCTTTTTTCTTTTGCTTCGAATAAGAGCCCTGGCCCTGATGGTCTCCCCCCTTGTTTTACAAATCTTTTTGGAAAACTACTAGAATAGTTTTTGTTGCTGCTGTTCAGCATTTTTTCAAATTTGGTTTTCTTTTAAAAGCTTTAAATCATACTTTTATTGCTCTCATTCCCAAATCCCCACATCCCTCTTCTGTGGAACAATTTAGGCCTATTAGCCTTTGCAATGTGACTTATAAAGTGATTTCGAAGATCTTAGCTAATAGATTAAAACCTTTGCTCTGTTCTATCATTTCTCCATTCCAAATGGCTTTTGTTAAGGATAGAAATATCCATGACAATAACATTGTTTCACAGGAAAGAAATCATGAGTTATATGCACAAAAAGAAGGGTAAGAAAGGTCTGATGGCTATGAATGCGGATTTGGCTAAAGCTTTTGATAGAGTTGAATGGAAGCTTATTGAATGCATTTTATCTAATCTTGGCTTTTGCAATAAATTCATTGGTTGGATTATGCAGTGTTTGTCCACTTCCTCCTTTTCATTCCTTATTAATGGCTCCCCTTTTGGTTTTCTTGTTCCTTCCAGAGGTATTAGGCAGGGAGACCCTCTCTCTCCCTTCCTTTTTGTTCTGTATACTGAGGTTCTTTCTAGAATTCTTAATTTCGAAGAAACTTTGGGGCGTTTTAAGGGTGTTAAAATTTCTAGATCAGCTCCTTCATTCTCTCATTTACTTTATGCTGATGACTTGATCATTTTTTGTAGGTCTTCCATGGAGGATGCTCATTGCATCAAGAGTTGCTTGAATAAATTCTCTCTATGGTCCAGTCAACTTCCAAACCCCTCAAAATCCTTCATTCACTTCAGTTCCAATTCTTCTCCTTCTCTTAAGAGCCCTATTCTTTCTTTGCTTGGCTTTAAAGAATGCTCCCATAAAGAAAAACACCTTGGTTTACCATTTTGTTTTTCAAAATCCAAGAAAGACTCTTTCTCAGATCTTATGATTAAAATCAATTCCAAGTTATGTGGTTGGAAGGCCAAAACTCTTTCCCAAGCGGGCAGAAGCGTTCTTGTTTCTTCTGTTGCTATGTCCATTCCCACTTACTATATGTCTATCTCTCTCCTTCCTCACTGCATTTCCCAAAAAATTGATGTTTCTCTTAGAAAGTTTTGGTGGGGTGAAAATTCTAACGGTAACTCATTTATGCCTAAATGTTGGGACAGTATTTGTTTGCCTAAGTCGGTGGGGGGCTTGGGCTTTAGAAGAACTTCTGATTTCAATAAAGCTCTTCTTTCAAAGCTTGCTTGGTCCTTAGCTACTTCTGAGAATAAAATTTGGGTTCAGCTTCTTAGAGCCAAATACTTGGGAATGCAAGACTTTCTTTCTCATGAACCCCTAAACAAAATTCCTCTAGGCTGTGGAAAGATATTCAAAAAATGAAAAAACTGATTTTCAAAGGAGCATGCTTTACTGTTACATCCAACTCCAATATCATTATCTGGAGTGACCCGTGGATCCCCACTCTCCCTGGCTTTATCCCTCACCCCCTTCCATCTTTTCAGACTTCTACCTCTCCTATTCAACTTGTAAAATCTCTCATGCATTCGGATACAAATACTTGGAATTTCGCCCTTTTGAATGAGATTTTCCCTGCTGCTTTGATCACTGAAATTAGGAAGATTCGTATTCATCCTTCTTTCCAGTCCAAAACTCTTTTTTGGGTTCCCTCTTCGTCAGGGATTTTCACCTCAAAGAGTGCTTATCTTACTGATAATGCCCATAGGTTTTCCCAGGCTTTGAATCCCAATCCTTTTCCTTGGAAGAATCTGTGGAATGCAAAAATCCATAACAGACACAAACTTTTTCTTTGGCGCATCTCTCATGACATTCTTCCGACGAAATCAAAACTCAGCCCCTTTCTTCCTATTGTGAATCCTCTATGTCCTCTTTGCAATGCAGATATTGAATCTTCAAAGCACCTTTTCATAAATTGTCCGTTTGTCACTCAACTTTGGTTTATCTCAAAATGGCATTTTTCTCTTGTTAATTTTCAAAATTTTACTGTGAAAGATTGGATTGCCTTACTTTTAAAAAAGAATGGTGGTTTACATTTTTCCGAGTCTTTAAGAGAAGAATTTCTTGTTTTTGCTGTTGTAACCTTTGTCGCTATTTGGGCTAATAGAAACCTCATCACTCATGGCTCTCCCTCTCTTTCATTTCAGGACACTCTAAAGAAGATCTCTTCCACTGCCGAAGCTCACTGGACTAGTCAGCTGAAAAGGTCCCTCAACCCCGGCTCATCTTTTTCCCAGAACTGGACCAAGCCTCCATTGAATTGGCTCAAGATCAATGCTGATTCTTCCTTTTTTGATGGCTCTGCTTCCACTGCTTTTATTGTTCGCAACCACAATGGTTCAATTGTTTTCGCTCATTCTCTCCAGCATCAATGCACGGATTCTCTTGTGGCAGAAGCTCTTGCTATTCATGAAGCTTGTCTTTTTGCTAACCATTGGAAGATTGCTAAGGTCATCTTCGAGTCCGATTGTCTCAATGCGGTCCACTTCATCAACGATCATAATATGGTCGGACATTGGTCTTCCAAAGTTATCATTGATGAGATTCGCAAGTTTTGGCATCTTTGGCCAAAATGGAGATTCAAGTATTGCCCTCGAAATGCAAACTTTGCGGCCCACAACTTAGCATCTTGGGCATCCGCCTCTAAATGGAGTGGTTTTATTTTTGAAAATCGTATTCCTATTTCTTGCTTTTGTGACATTGGTTATCCTCTTGTAGACTCTTTGGTTCCTTCTTAATATATTTATTTTTCTTATCAAAAAAAAAGAGATGCCTTGGGGCCTACCAATAAAGCTGAACACCAATGATATGGCTCAAATACAAAATCCAAAAAAAAAAAAAAAAAACAGAATTTTAAATATATTTTATTTAATTAAATACTTGGAAAAATATCATTATTACAATATCAGAAATATTAATTAATAAATAGCAAAAAAAAAAAAAAAAAAACATAGATCTAGCTAGTCTTCATCTTCCTCTAGTTTCTTGTAATCCGCGACGTGATCGACCCTAATCGTACGGCCGGAAATTTGAGCTCCGTTTAGATTGTCTACGGCGAGAATAGTGCTCCTTTGATCCTCGTACGCGACAAACGCAAAGCATTTGGATTTTCCGGTACGTTTGTATCTGACTAAGTTGACGTCCACGATTTCCCCGAATTGAGCAAAGATCGCAGCCAGATCGCCTTCGGTGAAATCAGACGGGATGCGGCCGACGTAAATATAAGCCGAATCTTTTTAGTTAGCATGCCATGACGCATCTTCGGAGATTCCTAAACTCGATTCTTGTTTGTTTAGGTTCTGAATTCGCTTTACCAATGTCAACGGATTCATCGAAAATTTAAGTTTACCTGCAATTGGTATATATGAGATCGAGAGTTAGGGTTTTTTCTTTTCCCTTTTTGATATTTGATTGAACTTTTTGTTTTTTTATTTATAACAAGAAATATAAGGCTAGTTACAATATCTAACTAGATCTCCCCATCTAAACAAATCTCTATAATATGAGAATCCTAAATATACTTTGACATATTAAAAGAAAATTAATAATGAGCCCACGTTATTCAAAAGAAAAAATTACAGTAGAAACTCGATAAATTAATAACCACAATTAAATAATAGTTTCTCTCGATCCCGATTCGGTGAAAACGTGTTAAATTATTAACTCTATAATTTAATAATTCACTAAATTAATAGAATTTCCCTAGTCCCGCCTGTATTAATTTATAGAGGTTTAACTGTAATGAACCCACATTATCGATTCATGTTAAATAAATAAATAAATCCAAACGCCTCCTAAAAAAAGTGATTCTACTTCATCATTTTCTTTTTTGTGAAAATCAGACGGATTGGATTTGACCATTTCGGAAAAAAATTCAATGTTTTTCGGAATTCAAGAATTGATTTCGATTCTAATTTTTTCGGAAATTTTGAAAAATCGACTTTTTTTTTTTTGGAATTATTCATATTCGAATTTTTCATAATATTTTCGAAAATTCGGATTTTTTTCAAAAAAAATCGGAACTAGTTTTTCAGTTCGGAAAAA